CCTCGCTGCTTCTCTCTGCCGTTCTCCATCGCTCGGCCTTCTCTCTCACAATATTGGGCCTCAGGTTGCTGATTTGGGTGCAGTAATTTGCCATTAGGCGAGGGACAGGTGCAGCTGCCTCCGTTTGCGGCGCTAACAAGGCATTTCATCATGGTTAGCTCCAGCCTGGCGCCCTGATCAGCTCTTGTTCTTGTCACAATATCACACACATGTACACACACACACGCACACACACATGCACGTGCACAAATACAGTACACACACAGATTCACTTCGTTGGTTTCTGTGGGATTGAGTTCAAAAACCTGTGGTATGTAGGCTTTTACAATCCCTACTAACGTGGCGGACCCAGTGTAGGAAGGGAAGGTTAGGTTAGCAGTGTGCATGAATTAAAGCTGGGGTAGGCAGTATACGGACAAAGACTCTTTCAGTATGTTTAAATCTTCTCCTCACTCTGTTTTCAGGCTTTAGAAAATCTAGACTTTAGGCAATCGAAGGGCTTTTCACCGATCAGATGAGATTGTATAAATAGCAACAAAATCCACAGTAAGAGGAGGATGTGGAAGTGCAGCGGTGTTGAACAGAGGACTTTAGTTTTGGAGGGTTTGAATCCAGAAAATGAATGTTCACTTTTGACTTTTAGTGTGAAAAGAAGAGGTCATCACCTACAGTCACACAAGACTCACAAAAGACGTAATAGTTTTGTGTGAGTTCGGCCAAGGGGACCACTGAATTTTGGCCAGCATTATTCTAGGATCTGATATTCAGCGTTTCTCCAATTTCTCAGTTTTTTATTTATGCTTTTAAGTTTTTAAACAGATTCCTTATAAAATAAGTGTATTAAAAATTGCAGTGCTTTGGCTCCTGCCCTGTTCCCAATATTGGTTATCAGTCTCCTCGTTATTGTATCACCCCTGAAAAAACTACATCGGGTGACCTTTTTATTCATCTTTTCAGTTGTTTTAATTGGTTGTCTCCGTATGTAACACATGAGCTGACTGAGCTTAATTCAGGAAGCCCTTCTGATGAAGACATGTACGGTACTTACACCTCCTCTGAGTGGTGCAGGATGACTTTTAATTTGACCTTTAAACATGTGCTTTTGTTCATCATTTTGATTTATTTTTTTTTATATTACATGCAAATTATCATACAGGACATGCAAAAAATATAACATTTTAGAAGCCTCACGTTCAGCCTAATTGAGTGCAATTCATCAGTAGCACAATAACAGTAGGCGAATGTCGTCAGATAAATCCACAAGTGTGCATCTCCGTAGCGTAAAGGTCAGTCTGAAGGAAATGTATCGGAGGCAATAAATCGAGGAGCGTTTAAAATAAACTCCCTCTTGGCCAGATGTTCCACCAGTAATCTAAATGTTAAAGGCAGTGGTGCAAAGTCGTTGCACTGAAATGTCACGCAGAGAAAGAGACATTTTGGCAAAAAAATAAATAAAAGCAACAATATAAGCATGAACATTTCACCAAGTATTTTTTTAAAAATCCAGCCAGACTCTAGTGTGTGTATGAGGGTCACACACTGTACGACTCTGTGGTCACCTGAAGTAAATTTTCCCTTTATGGCTCTTCAACATTAGACAGGGTTACATGCCTCCCTTGAGTTTCCATTTCCAGGTTCTTCCACCAGCAGCCCCCTCCTCACAACCACACACACCTACCTTGGCCGTCTCCCAAGGCAGTCAAACAGATTACTACGGGCGTTAACCCCATCGATCTGCTCCAAATGGCCTCCAAATGCCAGGAATTAGATTTCAGACTGGAGGAGAGGGAAATAAAGTGCTGTAGTATTTCTTGCTGCTCTACTTCGGAGTTAAGTGCTGCTGTGCCTTCCTCCTCGTACCAGTTTATCCTCCGAGCTTATTTGTGTTTTTCAGGACAGTGATATTTGTCTCAGTTTATACTTTATTTAGAACGTATTTCTCCGGGAAGAATGGGATGTTAGATAAAGCCCGTGACTGCTGGGGGAAAATTGAAAAATACATAAATATCTCCGCTCTGTGGAATAAGCATATACAGGAGTAAAGGTGGAGGGAATGAGAAGCAGACGGAGGAAGGGAGCAGCTTGTGCATGGGAGGAAAATGTCATTACGAGATCTAAAGATTTGAAATATAATTACCTAAAAATTGCCTGATCTGACATTTAAGCATGTTTTTTTTTCATACTTGATGGACTGTGTGTAAATCTGCAGGGCGCTGTGCAGCTGCGAAGCATCATCGGGAAGCAGTGAATCAATCTCACAGTCATAAATTACTCTATTGTTGGATTATAATGGAGGGCAGGTTTATTATACTGGTTGACTTGACTTTATCAGTGTATGGTTAATATCAGGCTAATACTTTTTCACTCCTGTCTTTCTCCCCCCTCTGTTCAGCTGCATGTTTCTCCCCGTTTCGCCCACTATTACCTTCACTATCTCCGTGCCTCTTTGCTATTTGTGTCCTATTACATCCTGCCGCCTCCCTGTCCTGCTGTGTCTATCTAACTTTTACAGCGTCTCCGTAGCCGAATAAGTATTGATTAATGTCTGAGCGGTTGTGCACCTAATGAGAGGCTAAATATAGCCGTCGCTACAACAGCCCTGCTGCGGCATCCTCCGGCACACAAAGTGTGAATAGTCACACCGTTGGCATGACAACACACCGGTCAAGGCTCTGTGAGCAGTCACAACAGATTGTGTGCCTGTCAAAAGTAGGAGAGGATGAATGAAGCGATTAGTCGAAAAGGAAACAACTGTCAGTTAATCTGATGATCACTAAATCGTCGATTCTGAACCTTGTTTGGTTTAGATTGTTAACTTTATTAAGCTTCTCTGTCTTGTGTGATTGATGAAATGAGGGTGATGGTTTTGGAAATGGAAACACGTTATAAACCAAATGATTAATTGATTGATTTAGAAAACAATCAGTACATGGAAATAACGGTGAGTTGTGGCTGTACGTATGATACTCGTTTTTCTTTCAACATTAGTGCAAAACTGTTGTTTCAGAAGTTGAAGATACTTAAGGTGCAATTTTTCAAATCTAAAAATATGATGCCTGGAAGCCTGTCTTGAAATCTCTTTAATGCACACGCATGTCGCCTGTCTGCTCTTGGTTTTTAAACGCTTTAAGACAGTTTAATTTGACGCGGAGAGAGTCGGGAACAAAACCATTCTTTACCACCTCCAGTACATTGTCAATCTTCATAATAAATCAGCTTAAACCTACGATATCACCAAGCCCTATTGTGCTCACGTTGACAAGTTTAGTTGCCCACATTTCTTTTTTCGTTGCATGGTAACCAATGGAGACTCGCAGTCCTACAATACCAGCCCACCTTGTTATGACCAGCTGGAGAGAAATGAATGATAAGAGTATGCAAATCGGATATCTTCCTTAATAGCCTGCTGTTTCATTCAGCTGTGTGGCCAGGATAAGGAATACCCACTGTGTCTAATCACATCTTCTCCCTCTCATTTCACCTGAGGCATATCCGCAATCTAGTCTATTTTTGACTGGCATAACAGCATACATTGTTCTCTGCTGTCTCGCACAGGGAGGGGAAAGCACGTATTTACCAGTAATTGGTCTTCTACTTTGAAATATGAACGACGTTTAGGCAGCAACAGTCTGATGACTTCAGTCTTAGCACATGATTAAATCTGACTGTAGACAGGTGGATGCGGCGTAGGGATATGGCTCCAGCAGTTCAAAGTGCAACTTGCAGGGAAGCAGAAGTTATCCTCGACTTTAACTTAACCCAGGAAATAATTTAAAGGCTCCTCGACGCTCATCCTTCAGTATACCCGTGTTGTGTCGAGCCATGACACCTGCCATGCACTTAATAAAGTTGCTAACAGATTGCAACACGCGGCCCCTATATGTCTGTTAGGAATCTCATTCCTCCGCGTTCGATTTTCAGTTTTTCAATCAACGTTGCGGAGGGCCCGCTGTGCTGTTGTTGAGGGGAAAATCTCATTCACGAGCTGGCCGACGGCTAACAAGGTCAAATGACTCTCCAGATGAGATAGACTGTGTCAGGAGGAGCAAACACACATACCACCTGCCATTCATTCGGTCGGTCCGTCTGTCTATCAGCGGCGTGCAGGAACTCGCCCTGAATTGAGTGGCAATAATAGAAGACTGAGGAGGGAAGTGTTTACTGCTGATAGGAATATCATTACAAACTGTGGAAATCAGGGAATCACAGCAAAACCAGTTAGCCAGCTCATGTAGCAATCAATAGAAACCTACACTGTTTTTTTTTTTTTTTCCCTTTCCCTTCCTCTCTCCTCTCATTTCTCTCTCCCTCTCCCTTTCGCACTCTCTTTTTCTCCGGTTGCTATAGTGACGTGAAATGGCTGCATTCTGCAGCATTGGACCAGAGCGGGGGAATCGCTCTTGCAGCCTGTGAGCAACATTGTTTTACATGATGGTTTCAAAACACACACACACACACACACACACGCACACACACACACACACACACACGCACATACAAGGATGCAATTATGCTAGCATGTCCCACAGTGCGTGAAGAGTTTAACAAGTTGAATGTTCTTTTAAATGTCACATTGTTTTCCATAAGCAGCGCACAGTAAACTGACACCGATGCTGTCTTTACAGTTCATCCATCACAAGTTTAATGACCTCGTGAACAAGCCAGGTTTATCTTCCACTGTTGGTAATTATATAAACAATGCGCTTCAACTTACTTCAAAATGATCCGCCACATATAAAGAGCATATATGACAACTTATTTTTTGCTGGGCTGTGTCTTCTCTTGCACGGTGACCCAAAATAGGCAAGAATATCACATTTTAGGTGTCTATAACTTTCCTCTCCCTTCCCATCTCTCAGTCGATATCCACAATCTCTCATTTTGACAACAAGAACTAATTAAAATGTCCCTTCTATCGCTTCCTTCTGTCTCTCTGTCTTCCTCTTATCTCCCCTTTTTCCTCGCACTCACCTCCGCTACGTCTCTCTGTGTGTCTGCAGTGTGACAACGCCAAGGGGCTGAGGGCCTTCTTTGATGCCATATGCTACGGTCCCAAACACCTGATGATCTTCGGCGGTGTCTGCCCATCTGTGACCTCCATCATTGCAGAATCCTTGGAGGGCTGGAATCTGGTGCAGGTAGGACTGACGCTGTATAAATCACAATGTGTGTGTGTGTGAGAGTGATTGTGTGTGGTGTAAAGCCTTTATGACAAAGACAGCCCTGTTGTGTTTGTAGAAGAAGTCTCTCACTGTTCCTGTGTTTCCAAAAACCTGCATTTGCTGCTTAAATGACTTCCCGAAAGTTCTTGTTTCTTAGTTTTTTTTTTTGCGGTGTGCAGATAGATAGTTCCTGGGATTTCAAAGGGGTTCAAACTCATGGCTTAATCCTTCATTAACCTTGCCGGGGTGAGTGTCTAATTGGCATCGCTCTAATCCGTAGAATCCTCCTCCATTTTACAATCAGAGACAGAGTCAAAATGGTTTAAACTCGTAGTGCCAGAACCAAAAATCTGTTGTTAAAAATGCGAGCTTGACATCCCTAAGCACTTGGACTTGAGTATACAAAGAGAAGCATAATATTAAATTATAAAACTGACCGATGACTTTTTAGCGAGATGCTGTTTCATGCATCTCACACGCCTGAAAATATGCTTTGGGGGTGTTTTGTCATCGGTATGAGCTTATAAAAGAGTTATGTCTCAGGTCAGTTGACGCTAATTACCTACCAGACATTTGTATAATAAATCTTACCATTCAATTGCTTCCTAAATGGCATTAGCTGCCATTAACTCTGCAGAGCTTCGTGATTGCTCACTGTGGAAAGTAAAACGCCACTAATTCTTCCATCTGGCAAATGTTTGACCCCTTTAGTTATTGCTTACAGTTTCTTTGACCGTGTACTGTACCAAAGAGCCTCTTTCCAAATAATACATTTCATTTGCTGCGAGCCTGGCAAAGGTTATCAGGCGCAGATAAGAAAGGAGTGAAACTTGTGCTTGGACGCGATAGCATAATTCAAGAGGCGGCGTTTTGAACTGAATGTCACGTTTCACGACATATTTCTTCCGCTTGCAGTTATTGTGAGCCTGCTGCTTTTTTTTTTTAATATTCCTTCTTGCTGGCTGTTTAGTTCGGGTCAGTCAAGGGAGAAAAGATCAGCAGGACGATGAATAAGAATGATTCATTTTCTGTTTCTGGGTTCCTCTTGGTGATAATGATCCCAGCCTAGACGCAAAGTTGAAGCCATAGTTGAATTTGAAGTGCTCGTAAGTGATTTGTCTGCGTGGTTTATGTGTGTGGTTGTGTATGTATGTGTGCTCCGCTCTTTATTTATCAGCTTGTTTGGCAGTGATACCTGTGAGAAGTGCAGCAGCAATCTTCTGCTCTGCAGAACACTGTGTTTGGTACAGTGTGTTCCCCCGAGCACTTTACCAACTAGGCTCTTTTCGCTATCAATTCACGGACCAACACCAACAAATTCAGCCTGATCCCAAATACACATTGTGACGCTCCCTGAATACCACACAGCAAGTGACTGGGGGGGGAAATGTAGAGGTGAATGGCTAAAGTCAAGGGTAAATGTAACTGCTGTTGCTGTAACCAACTAAACTGCTTTTTTTCCCAGCAGACTTGTAGTTGCAAGAACAATCTGATTTTCTCATCAACAGCTTTTCGGGACAGTGTTAAGACTTGATACACGGTGAATCAGGCGTCCATCGAGGAGCTATAGTATGAGACGTACCAATTTGCTGTTGCTTATAAAGTCTCTGAACCCTGAGCTGTTTTATTTGCTTGATTTTTACTCACACGGGGCACATTTTTCCCTGCAATATAAAGTTCCACACCTTAATGGAAACAGCACATTACATGTTATAGTGCATCAAAGTTTGATATTGCATTTTTCCGTATGTGCAAAGAGAGCAAGTTTTCTCTGTAATATTTCAAGCGGTCTCAGGTGGTTAAAAAGTAATATTTAGGTCCAAATTTCGCTCTTGTACACATTTGTGTTATCAAAAAACCCTGACAGAACAATGGATGAATTTATTTCATTTATTTATTGAACCCCAAGCAGTTTCTGGGTGTTTTATGCTCTACACTTTCACTCGTTGTAGGCTCATTTTTCATACAATGTCTGGTGCCGCTATGGAAACAGCACATTCATGCCTAGAAGTCGAGAGAACTAAAAGATGTCTTTAGGGTTAGTATAACAAATTTATAATCCCATAAATCATAAAAGAAAGAGAAAACACGAAAGTTGAATGTCTTTGATTATTTATTACACACAAAAAAAATGAAACGAAAACTGGACTTACAACATTTGTCCAAGTGCCCACTGATAGTACCGATACTGAGAAAAAATGGTGACTTCACACGATAGGTATTTTATTCATTACTATTATTATTTTATTTATGCTTTGTTTACACATTACATATATTTTTCTACTTGTGTGCGATCTGCTTTGTGTAAACACAGCCTACAGTTCAGCCTGGTTCAGGCAAAAAAGTTTTTTATTTTTGCTATGTGACCTGGGGCTGCTAGGTGGAGCGGTGGTTAACACCGTTGCCTCATAGCAAGAAGGTCGCTGGTTCACGTCCTGGTGAGGACACCTGGGATCTTTCTGTGTGGAGTTTGCACATTCTCCCCGTGCAGCGTGGGTTCTCTTCGGGTTCTCCGGCTTCCTCCCACAGTCCAAAAACATGTTGAGGTTAATTGGTGATTCTAAATTGTCCGTAGGTGTGAATGTGAGTGTGCTTGGTTGTCTGTCTCTAAGTGTAGCCCTGTGATAGACTGGTGACCTGTCCAGGGTGTCCCCTGCCTTCACCCTAAGTCAGCTGGGATAGACTCCAGCCCCCCATGACCCTAGTGAGGATTAAGTGGTGTATAGAAAATGGATGGATGATATGTAACCTGGGATTTGATTAACACAAATGGTTAATTTTAGTAAATGTTTGTGATTTTCGATGCAATATCCCAATTTTAAGATTATTTTTGGTGAATTTTTCCAATAGAATGCCACGTCACGGATTGTCAGAAACTCACACGTGTCACCTCTTTAGTCCTTGGAACACATGGAAGTGTTAATGAAAACATGAGCTTTGCATTCTTGATTATAACTGTGATCCAGGATTAGAAGCTGAGGTTACTGTTTTCTAAGATGCAGACTGTCTTTGCAGACCTGAGCTACATCCTCATCACAGCATGAGTCATCAAGCTGCTGTAATGGTAGACGGAAATCTGCAAGAGTACATGTTGGTGGCTGTAAACAACACACGAGATAGCTTTCTTTTATTGCACACAATGCACAGAAAGGTGGCACCTTTCTGTTTAGTTACGTATTATATTGCACAAGCTGGAACCTGCACTTGAGGTCATCACTGTAAACCTGTGTGCTCTCAGTGTGTCCTTGTATGTTTGTGAATCTGACTATGAAATTGTGTTTCGTATGCAGTGGATGCTCAACTGTTATCATGAGAAACACATGATAGAGTATGCTAGAGTAATGCTTTTGTCTGAAGGAGGGGAAGAAAATAGGGATTGAAAAGAAGAAAAGGAAGAATCTCCCTGAGCCAAAAAGAAAGGAGGGAGGGGAGGAGAGACGATTCCAAGTTCTGAATCCTCCACCCTGCAACTTTTAGCGTGCCACATCAGTGGAAATCTGTTTTTAAAGCTGTGAATTCTGTCACCCTGCATATTTATTACCCCCCTCCCCCCTGCAGAACTCAAGTTGGTTTGGAAGGAAATAGAGAATTTTCCATGGTGATTTTATGGGCCAAGCTTAACAAGCTCATCATTTCCACATCAAAACAGGGAGCTGGCAGATACTATCTACAGTGGAGATAGCTGAGAGAACAACCACTCCTGGAAAAAAAAAAAAGAAAAAAGCTTAATCATACACCCATAAAAATAGCATTCAATCAGTGTTGATGCCTAATGAAGTCAGCTTTGAAAGGCTCAACAAAAATAAACTCCCACTGCATACCCGTTCATTACGGTCTATGCGCACACTTGAATGCACATTCTCACACTTTGAACAGAGCAGGTTTTACAGGGGGAGCGTCAGTGCTGATATTTTTGTACTGAAAGTCAATAGCCAACGTTTTTTTCCCCCCATTCCTAACAGGTAAAAATAGACTTCAGAAATGAATTGTACCCTGAGACGTCCCATATAAGAATTAGAAATAAGGGATGATGGGGCCGACAGTGATGCAGATAATTATGAAAGGACGGAGGGAAGCGGAGAAACGATCCAAGAAACAAACAGTGGCAGGACGTCCTCCCTCCACAATATGACAAGCAATCCATTATGAAGATGCATGACTTAAAATCATAGATCCCTTCAAAATGGATGATTTTCTTGTTTCTTCGCAACGGTTTAATTACCCCTGAATTTCTCCTGAAATCCCAGGAACTATGTCAGCAGAAAAGTTTCACTAACTTTGGTGAGACTGTCAAGCTGCAGAAATATCAGATGATGAAGAGGCTGTCGAATAATGGCGACAAAGTTAAAGAAAACAAATGTCGTTTTCCATCCTGTAGCCGAACCCAGAGTCCATGCAGTCAGTAAGACAGCAGTGTAAGTGTGGTCAGCTGAAAATATAGACGATACAGTCTGAGAGGCTTTACAGGCAGGAAACTATTAGGGATGCACGATATGTCGGGGACCACGTTGGTATCGGTCCGATGAACAAATTTAGACGATGTATAAAACCGATGATTGTCTAACATTAGCGCCTTCGTCTCTACATTTGCTGCTATTCCACAGATGTTTTTCCTTAAATGGTCCTGGACTTGAACGTTAAATATGTTCAAATATGTTTTACTTTTGTCACGTAATAAAGAAGACCATGTGGTCTAATTTGGTATGGGCTTCTTTTGAATAGTTTTCATGTTCTCACAGTCCTTACTTACAAAAATTGAATATCGTCATCGGTGATATCAGAAATCTTAATATCAGATATAGGTATCGGCCAGAAATTGTAATATCGTGCATCACTAGAAAATACAGTCATGACTCGATACTCCGACACTAAATGTAAAACCTTCTTTTATGTCGGATAGCAAGGCTGTTGGATTGTCAAGACGGAGGTCGAGATACAAGGAGGGCTTGATGCCTGAAGGGTCATTTGTTGTTAAT